CTCTGAGCAGAGGTGAGAACGTTACTTGCAGTAAACGCGGAACAATCTTGCTCAGTAGGAGAAATGTGTAGTCAGGTGGCAGCTAAGGGGGATGTTGGGAATGACTGAAGGGGGGAAATGAAGCCTGAGCATGCAAGGAAATACTGATGGCAATCAATGGAAAGCCAGTGTTGGAAGGGCATGGGCGCATCCTCTATTCAAATACAGGTGCAGTACTGGCTGTTCTTAGACTTGTAGTGAGTGTATCACAAAAATGGAATCATAGGTTCATGTAGGTTGGAAAGATGTTTCAAAGGTCATCTAATCCAATGTCTTGTACCTGGAAACTGCCTGATCCATTTCCCACTTGTTAATCAGAAAAAACCTGTGTTAATCAGAAACACCAAGCACCCCGTTAATGGGAAGCCTGGCAGGAGCTGAAGGCATTCGGAGGACAAGGCTTCTGCTGACTGGCCTAGTTTTGCCATTTCTGGTTTCCCAAGTGTTTTCCTCTTATCACTGTGTGGTGCACACTGGAAGTGATCAATCAAGGCTCATGCACAGGATCTTTTCATGCTGGCAAGTGAAAAATCAATTTGTGTTCGAAGGAGTAAACAGTAGTACGAACTTCATCTCCCCAGAGTCAAAATGGATTCCTTGATAAAGGAGATGACAAGGAAAGCTGAGCTCTTGCTGTATAAGCACATAGGTGCTCATATGCAAGAAATGAGAGCGGGTTCCTACATTCATTTTACATGCTACACTTACCTTCTCAATAAAACAAAGACAGGAGGAGGAGATTACTTGTTGGCTGCCAATCGTGCATCAATAAAACCAGGGGGACTGTTCATGAACAGTTTATCCAGATGAAAATGTAGTCGGTCAGTTCTGGCAAAGACATTATTCACTGTGTATTTCTGCTTTATGGCACCACATTTGAATTTTCGGAACTATTCCGACAAGTCTGTCAGAAGATTGTGTTGCTAACGTTTCTGAGAAATGTTTGCTGTCGGATGTAAATTACAGGAAAAGGGGTCTTTATATGATTTTTCTGTGCCACAAAAACAAAATCTGATCTCATGCAGGTTATAAATTGTCCAGGAGGTAAGAGTGGTCAAGGAACTGTTGAAAGAATAAATGGAAGGTTAGATTGACATGACTCATCAGATATTGTAGCAATTTACCCCATGTCATTTGATCTGCAAACCATTATAGGCTACTATTCCCTCCCTCTTAGATTTCTGCCCTGCTTCCCTCCCTTTAAAGTTCAGAACTGAGCCACCCAAACCATGCATTAGACCTTTGGTTCCACATCATTTAAGCTCTTTTCTCTCTCCTGTGAGACCAAAAAGCAAAGAGAGCCTTAGAATACTGTCTTACTGTGACCATCAGACCTTTCCTTTTTTTTTTTCAAGCAAATAATATTTAAAAGTAAACATGAAGTGTTTTGATGCAAAAGAGTTTTGCCAGATTAAAAGGAAATTGGAAGATGAGTTCAGTGTAGCATGTAGCTGTTGTGAAATCTTCTTGCTTTGATTGAAGTTTTATTACCTCAGTACGTCTGTCTGCAGCTTATGTAGCGTTCGCTGGTTTTCAGTCTGGGGTTTGTGGATGCACTGCCAGCCAAGAGAAGAGCTCATGATGTGAATTGCCACCACTTGGTCTTGAGGAAACCAAACTCCTGGAATCTGTCCTTCCAGCTGAGTTAGGCCATGCTGCTCACAAAGGAGGAAAAGCACCAAAGGCATGCACAAGGGCAAGCTGTGCCCTCCTTTTTAGACTCTGATTACTGATGAAAGCTGAGGAGGAGAGTGGAGGTGTGTGGGGGGTGTAGAATCACATAATGGGTCCTAAAATGCTTGATTTCCATTAGATTGGGAAAGTAGTACTACGGGATGAATCTTGACTAAGCTACAGGAGGAACGTGGCAGTTTATTAATGGCAATTCTAATAACAGTTTGTTGTAGTGCTAGCACTTGGTGATGAATATTGTATCTGCTCCGTTTTGTTCTGTCCTGATGAATCTATGCTTGGATGCCATGGTGTGCCATGTGGGCCTGCTCACACTTGTTAGCTGAATGCAAGTGTTTATGGACAATTAAACTTGCAATTTTTGATTCACACTTTGAAAGGTCGAGAGGTTGTTTTATCTTTTTTTTTTCTGAGATAGACTGAGTTTCTAATAGATCTGTGCCTTTCAAGTCCCTTAGAATGTGCAACTGCAGCATGAATTTAGAAAAATGGTCTCATTTCTTTAGAAATCCATTAATAGTAATGTACTGAAAGACTCTTACATTGATCTTCTTTCTGATAGCCATGTTGTAATAATTATTCTTTTAATGTTTGCATCAATCTAAATGTTTTCCTCTTTGTGCTAGCTCCTACTTGGATCTCCCTATATGACAATCACAGTACTTTGACATCTTGCATTACTTTAATACCAGTGATTCAAAACAAAGCAATGCCAAAGGGAACAAAAGTTCTGTCAAGCCATTAAAATCTTCTTTGCCATTAACGCAATTAAATTGATGCATGAGCATTTAAAGTTATTAGCAAGTGCTGCCAGCAGAAGCTGGTTGTGATTGCATAATATATAGTGGGCTTTGTTGAAGTAAAATGGTATGTTTATTTTTATTATTATCATTAGTTGTGAAGTAACGTAAACTTAAACAGGGCTGTGAATTGTCAGAGGACTGTGAGACAAGTAAGAACATGGTCTGCCCTGTATTAATAGCCAAGTACACAGTCATCATTCTTCTGAACAAAGGAATACACATGGTACCTTGGCTAACCATTAGAGCTGGCATGTGCAATGGGAGGGAGGGATGTTAAATAAGGAGAGGGCTTCTGTACCTCTGCTGCTCTCACTCTTCCCAGTCTGACTCACTCAGCTGACTTTTGGGCTGCTCCTGTTACTGCTGTGAGAAATTTTGTGGTTGTTGTGTACACTGTAAGCTTATTGGGAGAGTATTTGTTTTGTTTTGTCATATTCCAACACACTTATTTTTCAATGAAAAAAATGAGGCGTGTATTAGAGACACATGTGCTCCCAGTGTCCCACTGCACATTGCAGCAATACCCCTGCTTGCTAACCTTTTGATTAACTGTATTCCTCACTGAATGGGCAGCTGGTATGAGGAATGGAAAACACAGATTAGCAAAGAATTCACAGGTATTGAGGGGGAAAGCAGTGATTTAAGTGAAAAGTAGGGAGATGAAGGAGATCCAACGAAGGTGGACTGCATGCCCGTTGCAGTTCATGTTGAGCATCCACTAGCAGTTCTCAGCCTAGGTTTGGTATGGGATTTGAGCTGAGTAGAAACTGGGGACAAAAGGTAAGGCTCTTTTTTTGGTTGTTTAAAGTGATATTATGGAAAATTGCAATCTATAGTAGATAAAAATCGCTAATACCCCTGCAGTGTAGTCATATTCACTTGGGTAATTCTTTACCAAGATACTGATGAACTGTTGGGAATTCAGAGAACTGTGATGAAATAAGCCAAAGGGGAGGAAAATGTTGTTTATCAGGAAAGAAGGTAAAAGTTGAACATACAGCATTTGAGAAAAGTGGAGTATAATTCTGCGTGTCTGTGCAAATGTGAAGGGAAGTAATGAATTACTTTCGAGTAGTGGGAGGAGAAAGGCTGAGGTGACACTGAAAGCAAAATTTTAACCATTATGCTCATAAAGTACCAAATAGTTTACAACACTGCTACATATTTTATTAAGGGAAGGGATGGGAGACCCATTTCCCTACAGTTATTTGGGTCAGACTGGCCATAGTACTAGGAAATATAGGGGAAGTGTGCTACATTAGCAGAGCACAAACTTGGTGATCTAATAGGTCTTTGACTTCTGTAGCTGTGTGGATTTATTCCTGAAGCTTAGTGCTGGCTGAAATATGGGTGGAAGGCCATGGTCAGTGCTTTTGGTCAAGCTCTACAGCAGATAAGGATGACAGGGATTAAATTTAGTCATGAGTATCTTTTACCAAACTAGTTAATAAGGGCAGTAAGGTAGAAGCTTCAGGCAGAAAAGTCTCATTGAATATTTATGGCACAAAGGACTTACCTATGTTTTGGTATCTTCCTGAATATTGTCTCTTCCTCTTCTGCTTTTCCCCCGTGATAAGAGCCCATCACAGCTGTCTGCAATTGCTGCAGAATGATTGTACATACAGGTCATGTCTACCTGTTCTTTCTGTAATTGTTCACAGTATTTAAAAGTTTTATGCTCTTTCACGCCCTTAGAATGAGGGATTGTGACAAATGCTGTAAATACCATTTAACAAGTGTTTTCAGTTGGAATATATTAGTAGCACCACCATGTGTGTGCGTGGGTATGGCTGTGTACATAGATATATTGCACCTTTTTAAGGGGAAAAGGAGTAGCTGTCAAGCCTCTCGGGGTGGATTCCTGTGTGCTGTGCAGGCTTCAGAGGATACTTAACCTGCAACAGGCTGATGAAGTGAGGGACAACAAAATCAGCAACCACCCTTATAGTCCAACCAGTATTTTACTACAGTATATGTTTAAGTTTTAAGAGCTGTCTGGGCTGTTAGCCTATTAAGCTGTAGGATAAGATAGTTGATGATAACAGCTTTCTCCTAACTGTTATCACCTCTGTCCTTCGCTGCAGCATGTGGCAAGTTAAACCAAACCTCTCCTTCTCTCTGAAGGCTGCCGATGGGAGTAACAGTGGGATCTTCTTCAATTACAGAAGTTTCAGGCAATTCTAGTGCCAGTTCTCAACTGTGAGGAAATCAGAGTACTTTATTGCTTCAAAAGTGTCGTTAGTAGCACAAAGCAGTGTGCAAGAGAAAAGCAACTTTTGACAAAGTGGGTCCTGCTGATGATTTATGTTGATCTGAACTGGAAAATTTGGTAGGCAGCAAGCGTGGATACAGCAGTCTTCAAGCAGAGGCAGTTGCTTGTTAGCTGTTCACCTGTGTGGTTGTAGTCACTGAACTTTGCATCCAGCACCTGACTAAACATTTCTTTTTTTTGTTCTTTAAACTTAGGTTACCCTTCCCAATGACTCCAGTTGTGTGGAAGAAATACTGCGGGTGAGTAATACCCTTTGCATTTTTATCTTTTGTATAAATTTTAATGCTGTTATTTCATCTTTCAAGGAGAGGGTTTGTAGGGCTGTCTTTAACACTGTAGTTAAATAATAGCATGTCAGTGGGTCTGTATTAAAGAGATACAGCCAAGTAGTAGGCCTAGAGTGCTCTGACTAAGATCAGTTCACCTAATATTCTGCATCTGCCAGCTTGTCTCAGTCAGGATTTACACACGTTCCTGTTCTTTGTTAAGCTCCCAGTCTCTGTGAGTCTATCCAGGACACGTTTCTCTCCTACCCTGATGTGTAGCTGCCTTCATTCTCCTATTCACAAACTGACCTACAGTCTTCCTCCTCCCCTCAGACTACAGTTGCTCATCATTCATGGTTTTGTTAAAAACTTACAGACATTTCTTCTGGGATCTCTGGTCAGTGGTTGAATACAGAAAATTACAACTCCAAACTAGGCATGGCTTAATTTCAACAAGATTGTGTAACAAGAGAAAGGGGAGTGTGGACAGCAAGTCGTATGCCTTACTTTAAATGTAAGATGGGCTTTTCCTCAGACACCCAACTTTGGGTTTCTCTCTTGGCAATGAGATTTGCCTGGGGGCAGTTTTGCAACCCACCAGTGCCTTTTTGGGATTTAGGCTTTTATCCTCACGGGTTGAATTTCCCATGTGTCAGAGCTACCTCCCTGGGATTGCCAGGCACCCTGCTGGTTTTTGGTGTAGAAGGGATAAAATTTCAATGGGAATTTCTGCTAACCATGTCCTTATTACTAGGAGCTAGTGCAGCAGACTAACCCAGACCTGAAACTGTGTGTAACAGTCATGCCAACTTCCTTGCAAAGACATGGACTTAACTCTTGCTTATAAAATAAAATAAGATTCCCAGTATCCATTGTAATCCAGAGTTAAATAGTTTGGGAAACTTGCTCCTGGTTTGTGTACACACATTGTCTGGGGCTGACAGAGATGTCTTTATGGGTTGGCAGTGTTGCTGCAGAAGTTTGTGGAAGCAGCAGGAAAGCATTCATGTGCAGACCTGCAGTAACACAGGAGTATCTGCATGTGCACCCAGGAGCAATGAATGCAAGGAAATAAATAACATTTACTTTCAACCTTCAAAGTGAGCAGGGGTTTATTACCTAAAGAACACTAAGGGAGAAAATGCAGAGGAAATGCTGAAAGGCTGTGTGAAATACTTGATATATTTTAAATGTCTTCTTCCCTTGTTTATATATTTCAATTAGGTTCATTACTATATTTGGAATGAATGACTTGTTGGCTTGGGAAAGCAGTTGTTTTCAGTAAACAGCATCAAAAGAAAATGTGATGTGGTGGATTTCAGGGATCAATCATCCAGGTGACAGTTTTAATGGGGAACAGTGCATATAAATCACAGGAAGCAGAAATGTCTTTTTTTTCTAATCAAGAGGAGCTGATCCTATTTCCTCCCCCATGACTGTAATTTGAGTCAAGAAACAAGCAAAATGTCCCAGGCTTCCTTCTGAAGCATGCCAAGAGTGGAGCAGGACTTGCTGTTGCCTTCAGAGGATGGGGATCAACTGCAGAATCCCCACTCCTGCCACTCGTGGGCCATTAAACTCAGGGGAGGGCTCTTGGGGTGGACAGAGCAGGGATTTGGCAGGGATTACATGTCTCTGGGAATATCTTTCACAGGGACAGGTAATGGGCATCTGAAAAAGAGATACAAACCAGCAGATCTTTCTAACTGCTGGCTGCAGATGCCCAGCAAAGACCTGGCTAACCCAGCCCCACCTGACTGAGAATGGGTCAAAATCCAGTCCTCAGGCTCCCCATGGAAGCCCTGTGCCAGGAGATTCAGGCTGTCTGCTCCAGGTGAAAGAATGACCCTTGGTTTCAGCAGAGATTTGAACTTTGAGAACCTGGATTAAGCTCCCAGCCCTGACAGGTACTTTCTGGCCTTTTGGAGCCATTTACATAGGCTCTGAAGAACTTTGGGGAGTGTGGGTCTCAGCTGCCTGATGACAGCTTCCCCAGGCAAAAAAAAAAAATAGTTTATTACTATTGCTGTTCTGTCAGGGATGTTGCAGAGATAAAGACAAAGGATTCCACGACAGTCAGGTCCTGAAGATGGAGAACTGGGCTTTAACTGTGAGTTTTGACCAAGGAAACCACTGGCAGCATCTGCTCTGGGCTGTGCCCTCTGCTTATCCGTGCACCCCAAAGGGCCAGAGGTGCTCTCTCTTGGAGCACTGCATGCCTTGAAGTTGGCTTTTTTTCTGTTTGTTGGGGTTTTGTTTTGTTGTTTAAGTTGAGGAATAAGGTGACTTAGTTTCACCCCTCAGAAAGACACAATTACTCTGGAGGGGTTTTTTGCTAGGCTTTACAGGAAAGAGGTATTCACGCTAAGATCTATGACCCCTGATTTTACACAGCTCTTTTTTTTTAAACTGAACTTGATTAATGGTTTTTGTAATTGTAGAGGTTTGCAATTCCTAATCTGTCTTCCTTTTTTTTTAATCTGGAAAAAAAGGTTTAATTGAGTTTATATTCATAAATTTTCAACCGAGTGAGGGGAAAGGTCTTGACTCCACTCACAACCCTGAGTCTTTAGAGACAAAATTTCACAGTCCTTTAGATTTCCTGAAACACTTAGCTACTTATGTCATCCTGTGTAAATGCTTTAAGGACTGCTCCCAGTACTACAACCAAAGGTTAATGGCAGACCAGTCTCCTGTTGATTTTACTTTTCTAACCAGGCTGACTGAGAAGGTCGTGAAAACAACAACAATAAAATAATAATAATGATCAGCAGCACCTCATGTACAACTAAGGCCAAACTTGATGATAGTACAGATTTGCATTTCACACAGGTTGCTAATACAGAGTTGAAAGATGAAGGCAAGTACACTGGTGGTCAGTACACTTTTTTTCTGTCCCAAAATGTGTTTGTCTTTTTTTTAAACCAATGTAATGGTTTTAAGCGTGGATAGCGTGGAAGACAGGCAATTAAAAGTATGTGTGTGTAATTCACATTTTATTAATATGGATTTAAATTGTCACTTGCTATGTGCAGCCACTGAAAAATGAGTTCATTGAAATGTTGTGATACGAAGTGCAGATGGGGTGGGAGAACTGACATTTAAAACCAGTCTCCAAAGCTGTTACTTGTGCCACTTGTACCAGTGCTTTACATCAGCATGCCTTGCTGTCACTGCATGTGATGTGAACCATGTGCTGGCCCAGGCATGGGGGGGTGTGTGGGTGACACTGGGGGTGAACAAGCAGCGATCCTTTTCCTGTAGACAGCACAGAAGGGACCTTCCTTAGCATTGGTTTACCTCTGGGTGAAGAGTTGATAAGCATACATACAACATCTCCCAGGAAAGAAAGGAAATTTTATTTAACTAAATCTTCTGGAGGACTCGTAGTGTAAATTGAAACTTTGGGCTGGGTGTTTAGTCAATCGATTAGATGTAATCCTGCAGAAGTGAGGCTCTGGTCTGTACACAGACAGCTTTCCTGTCTGTGTTCTAACCATCTGGGCAGGCACTTCTGTCTGGAAATCTGTCCCTGCTTAGAGGAACAAAAGAATTCTTGTAGATGCATATTCACTGTAGTAAGGCATCAAGTAGCTAGATGGATTTCTGATGTTATGTGGACAGCTGTGATATTAATTAAAGGCTTTCTAGTCTGGAAGCAAAACAAATCCTAAATATAATTCAGATTGTAATAAGTATAAAAATGACTGGAGTTAAATAAGCCAAGTCTGTAATTTTTATGGTTGTCTTCTGGTGACTAATGACATTGGAGAATATGTAAATTGATCAGCAGGTGAAAATGCCCTTGACTGGACAAATTATGTGTAGTATTACCTTCCTCACACCAATTGAAAGCACTAACAGATTTAATATGTCTCATCCATAGCTGAAGTGAGCTGTTCACATGGCAAAATTAGACTGTAACAGATATAGCCCATTATTTGCCCCTCAGTAATTGTTTTCTCTTCTAAAATGCAAACCAACAGTGAAGAATGATGCTAAACCTAATAACAATAATTGTAATTTGAAAAATACAGGTATGCTGTCCGGCGTGGTTACAAATGCACTTAGTAGCTGACGGGCAGTTTAAATATTTTCATGTGGAGTCTGGGGGCTTGCTGGGGAGGACATGATGTGAATTTAAAATGATTATCCAGACGTCATTGGACAAGTGAATAACGAGCTGACTGGCCTAGTAAATCATGTGAACCTGTCAAATGTGGGAACACGTTGGGGAGGAGATGATGTCAAGTAACAGTAACTTAGCAACCTGGCATTTAGCTGTCCAGAGAATGAGTAAGAGTAGCCACTTTTAAATAGCTGAGTAAATAAATGAATCCCTATACGTCTTAGGTGTGCTATAAAAATAGCCCAACACCGTATGTTTTGTGTCAAGCTGCTTCTTTCTCCAGGATAAGGTGATTTATTATTTCTATTGAAATGAAAAAATGGATTGAAAAGTTAACCCACGTGTAAATGTGGATCTTTGGCCTTTGTCCTTTCTCTGGTGTGCAGCCTTTGAAAGCGTGCAAGGAACGGGTAATAGCCTGCTTTGAGAGGTTTGTTTTTTTTTTTCTTTAGACTTTGCTCATGTACACAGAGATTTGGATGGATAAAAACAATTAATTTCTTAGCAATTTCTAAGCCATTGCATTTTCAGCTTTTTATCAGCATTTTCTCAATGGAGGCAGAACCACTTCCTGCTCTTGCATCAAAATAAATCAAGAGGTAATTCTACTGACCTCTGATCTCATTTGAGTTCATTGAATTCTTCTTCATCCCACACTGGTATAAATTGGCAGCAGCTCCACTTATGTTGCTGCTGCTGTTATTAAATAAAAAGGAGTTACCTCTGCATTACTTTAGGTATACATAAAAGCAGAGACCAGTTCTTTGCTCTGATGACTCTCTCGATGTAGTCTCGTTCCATAAAATGGAAATGCTGAGTAGTTCTTTGAGAACAATTCCTTCCT